ATCGATTGACAATCAACTGAGATGGAACGATCATGTGAATGGTATAAGAAAGAAAGTCTTACCTATCTCAGGAGCCATTAGAAGAATATCTGACACAATCAATGAGAAAATCAAATGACAAATATATTTCGCCTATATAGAGCCACATTTTAGACATAGTATAACTTCCTGGGGTACCTGCTCAAGCACACTTAAAAATAAAGCTCAAAGACTTCAGAACAGATGCTTAAAATCAATATTCGGGTTGCACTGGAGAACTCCAACCAATGAACTTTACAACACATTAAAAATAAATAACCTGGACAAGTTGATTAAATGCGAACAATGCAAATTAATTTATCGAATAAAAAATAAGCTACAAAAATCTAATATCGTCTTACCTGAAAACAGAGAACATCATAACTATGAAACACGTATCAGAACACACATTCATCAACAACAACCTTTAACCAATCATGGAAAATGCAGCACCATCAATACAAGCGTACTATCTTACAACTCGTTACCGGAAAATGTCAAAAACTCAAGTAACTTCAATATATTTAAGAGAAGACTGAAGCAACACTACAATATGTAATTTAACTAATGTGATATAATAAATTCTACAACCATGTACCTGTAAAACTGATCTCGCTATCAGCCTTTGGCTGTTTTGAGATTCTAATGTACCTGAAACATTATGATGCCATATAATTATTACACTTTATACATATATTTTATACTAAATGTTAAATCAGTATTATATTGTTTTATGGAAATAAATAAATAAATAAATTAACCAAATAATTGGTTGTTTTAAAGCAAGAATATGTTTATTTGAAAATAAATTAGTGGTTCTTAAATAAAAAAGATACTTACTTAATTCAAGAATAAATTTTCTTAAAACAAAAACATGCGATCAAGATGTTTTCTATAACCCAATATTTTTTTTAATTAATAGATACAAGATTTAAAATAATATTTATTTTAAAATAATGCAAGAAGTATCGTTAAAAATAAAATGTATCTTTCTTAATTTTAAGCTACTTTAGCAATGTTTCAAAAAATCTATAATTTTGTATTTAAAATCAATAAAATTTTAAATAATAATCTATTAACTAAAAATTATTTATTTTAATAATAAAAACATCTTTATATTTAGGAATATTACTGCAAATAAAATAAAATTTAAAATAAAAATACGTCTAAACAATTGAAGGGAACTGGAGTTATTTTAAATATACTGTAATTTTTTAAGGATTGTTGTCTAATCTTAAACAAAACTTTATATTCAAATACTTCGGATTATTAAAAATTCAGCCAAACTTACTGAAGGGCCAAAGTATACGTTGTATCGTTTCTAGGTGCTGCAGTAAGCAAAAAAATTTAGGTTAGAAATAAAAAAACAAACGTTGAACAAATACATTTTACTTTGTTTTTAAAACAAGAAAAATCTAAATCTAAAATATATACATTATTATAATAACTTAATCATTATTATCGACATATTTTTCATTTTAAATAATTCGTAATATTTTAGGCATAGTAGAAAAGCAATTACCAATTTTATAAAATAATTTAGGGCTATTGCCTGAACTCCACCCTATATGAATCAAAATTAATCTTATACCCCAAAGTGTGTAACAAAATTACTTCTAAAACAAAATCTTTTTAAATGTCATAAAATAAATTAAGTTAAGTAAGAGCCAGGTCCGGATTAAGAGTTTTGAGGCCCTGGGCCGACATTTGGTGGGGGCCCTCAATATTTCTAAAAAAAATTGACACTAAAACTCCTGGTAAATTTTTAAGCTGGAGGAACTTTACGTGATTTTTTATTATCTTTGAATCATTTATTATTTAATAAACCATAAAAATTTTAATAAAATCGGCAAAAGCGTTTTTAAGCTATAAATAAAAAATTCATTTTTTTAAACGAAATACCCTGTATCTCGATAATGAAGCATTTTCGGACACGTGTTTATAGGAAGTTTTCACCACAAGTCTGAATCACCCTGTATATTTTAAATAATACGAACATAACCTTATATACATTTTACCCAAGTTTGAGAAATTATAAATTCGTATGCAAAACTATAAAAACGTAGATAGTAGAATAGAATTGTGAATGAAAGTGTTTTTATATACTTTATATTTTATATATTTTGAATAATACGAACATAACCTTATATACATTTTACTCAAGTAAAATATAAATTGATCTATGTTTTGTTTGTATTTTTAATACTTACCGCAAACTGAAAACAAGTGCATCAAAAGTATTATTTGTCTGTTTTTCATACAAAATTAAACAATAAAACAATCTTTTGTTCAAAGAAAAGCACGAAACAGTATTTCGGAAACACCGAAAAATATTCCACAACACTCCAATGTAGAGTGATATTAATATCTCATGGCGGTTGACCTTGAGAGACGCTATAATATTAAAACAATTATAACAGAATTTGTAGCCTAGAAATTTTTCTAAATATGTCAAAAAATATCAGCATTCTAGGCCCTATGTAGTATGTTTTTAGGTCGGCCCGATTTGACGGATTTGAGACTTTTGCGCACCGAAGGTCATCCGCCATGAGATATTAATAGCACTCTACCAATAAAAATCTGGGACAAAAACTAACTTTAATATTAGGTTATAAGTAATTGACTGTTGGCCTGTATTTACAAAAACGTTACAAGCACTAAAGGAGCAACTGCTTAAAATTGTTATGAGTCATAACTTATGACTATAGACTATATAAAAACGTCTTCGCGCGCCAAAACTTTGAATGTGATAATTTACATTCTGATTTGCAAGCGGATAAGCGATAAAAAATCCGCGAAAAATTAGAGTTAGATCCACGAAAAATTAATTGAAAATTACAGGATTCGCGCGGTATAACCGACCCATTTTTTTATTTTTTCGCCAATTTTCTTTATATTCGTTTCATTAAAAAGCTACATATTGCATTGGTGGGGGCCCCCAAGTGGTGGGGGCCCTGGGGCCGTGGCCCCGCTGGCCCTATGCTAAATCCGGCCCTATAATAGAGCCATAAGATATTTTGGTTATCACTGCAAAGCCTATTTATTTATAAATAAAATAATTTAATGGCATCCTTAAAATATATTAGTAAATATTTAAACAATAAACCTACCCACCCACCTACACGTTAATGGGACGCTAAATTTAAAAAAGGGTGGTATATCAATAACAACTTACTTCAATTTTTTTATAATTTAATTCGATGCTGAACACTCTTCTAAAATTTTTTTAATGAAATACGCCCTCTCCCTCACAATGAGAAAGAAACAGAGGAACGTTTCGGTATCTCCACTCCTACACGATTTCAAAAATATGTATTCTTGGCAAAAGAAAATACTGTTTATCTCCACGCGGTCTATAATTTAAACTTTATTGTTGTCAACATTCGATAAAGAAAATTTTTTATGAGGCAAGTACCTAATTAGTTCGATTTTTTCTCGCTAGGGGTATTGTTTTGACAAATTAATCCTTTTATAAGAAATTAACGTACTAAACTGGTTTAATTTATTTATAATAAGCACTTATTTGTTTGTTTTACTGTTAATGTTTAATATTTTTCAGTAAATTATTGTAAAATTAAATATGAAAAATAAAACAAAAAGTGAGGTTAGGCAACCAAGAAAACGCACGATTCTTTTTCTACGATTTAAATTATCTTTAAGTTTTAATTTGCTTCAGTGAAATTAAATGTTAAACACAGCTTAAACATTCCAAACAACCTATTTTTAAATAAAAATCCAAACAAATTGAAATTAGATACCTACCTACCTATTTATTAAACAATTAATTGAATTCAATGTAATAGCAAAAATCCATTTCTACTTAAATCATGTACCTATAGGTATTGTCAAACTATTACTGCTTCTAAAAGCAATAATAATTATTGTACATTTAATGTAATCTTTAGCTAATAAATAAATGAGATTCTAAAAAAGTGAGGTTAGGCCGCTTTGGTGTTGAATTAAATTGACCTATAGGTATATATATATAAAGTGCTTTGAAGATAAAATGTTGTATGCCATTCGGCCAAGAAGTGCCTTTTTGTGCTTCTCTCAATTGTAGGCCTCCGCTACGCGTCGGCCTTCAAACCTTGAGCTTAGCACAAAAAGCCTAATGATATAAATAACTATTATTAAAACGAATAAAAAAATTTAAGAATATCTAATTCTAATATAAAAAAATTAAACAAATAAAAAAAATAAGAATATCTTATTCTTGATATAAAAAATATTAACAATTGTACCAAGAAACCAACTAAGATTTAATATTTGGATTGAAACATGCAACTTTTTAAAAGAAGAAATGTTTCTTAATATTAGAATATTTCCAAAACTACATACAAAATTCTTATTTAAAGAAGTTAAATATTTTTAGTTGAAATATATATTCTTATTTTAAAGCAAGTTGACTCGAATTAAAAAAATATTTTCACCCATAATATAACAAGTGGTATGATTATCATCGATGATATTTTCGAATTGAAACCGAGCTGCAGATTTCACGAGTCCGCAGGACGAGTGAAATGTGCTGCTTCGGTTTTAATGAGTAAATATCATCGATAATTAATCATACCACGAGTTATATTTAGTGAGAAAATATAATGAATTTTAGGATTTAACGAATTTTTAGTTTGACATTTGAAATTAAAATGTGCTTTAAAATATAAAAAGACTTTAATAAACCTTATTTATTCAAACTTACCTTAATTTCATTATCGTTTACACCAACCCATCGATCTTTTAGAGTTTATAATTCATTATTTTATTGATATACGTATATCAAAAACAGAATTTAAATGACAACAAATGTCAAATCAAAAAAACGTCAAAATTCATAGTAACGTGTAAACAAGATGATAAAAATTATTGCCGCTGTGATAAAATACGTCACTATGGAATACTGGCATTTTATTGGTTCTAATATTAATGAATTGTATTGTCAAGATGATAGGTGTTCTAAATATAAGAAATCTTTTTTTTTTCAGTGTAATATCAAGCAGCCCTTCGAGCGGACACGCATGATCTTTCAGAACAACAATAATAGAAGTGCCGCCGCGCTCGCAACAATCGACGGCGGCGGCGACGACGGCGGCCACGGCCTGCTCTCTGTATTGTGCGCGGCTCCGATCGAGCAGCATCTCCGCTGAAGATACGTTTGCAGAAATACTACGTCAAGTGACCCACGTTGCGTTATATCGGGGCGATATGTAAATAAGTTTTGTGTTTGTGTTTATGAATTTTTTTCCCTTCGGAGTGGTTGTTGGTTGTGTTTACAGGATTTTGTTGATTGAATTTACACAGTTAAAAGTTGAAGGTAAGTAATTATTATTATAAATATTTTAAATATAGTATTATTTATTAACCTAAAATAAACCAATATAATATTATATTGATAAGAGGTCGTCACACTTTTAGGGGAGTTTGTTTTTTATTTATTAATAATTATTATTATTATTATTAATTATTATTAATAGTTTTAAAATATTCCTGTAAACAAATATTATGCTTTACTAAATAGTATATTATGTATCACCCAAGCAGCATTTTTGGTTCCAAAACCCATTAACCAAAGTGGTGATAACTTTAAATTACTAAACAGCTACTTTAATTTTTAACTTAAAAGTAATTCTTTCCTTACATGGTTACTATAAAGTAATAAACATTTAAGTAAAACTTGGTTGCCCCCAAAAAGACTTTGCAACTTTAAAAAAGATGTTACAAGTAAAAAACTTTCAAGTAAATTTAATTTGCAGCAGTTACTTTCGGTTGCTACCTAAAGATTACATTATAATTATTTTTACTTGGTAGTCCCTTTGCAAGTTAAAATCTCGAAACTGGAACATGAGTTAAAAACTACAAAAAAGTTATTATTTTAGTATTTGGAACGTTTATGGTACTAACCAAAACTACCGTAAAGTAAATTAAGGTGGAAAATAACTTTAAAGTAGCGAAAACTACTTCAAAGGAAAATGCTTCTTATCGGTCATTTTTTACTGTACAGTACCTCCTGGTAATGTAAATAATAAATTATTTTAATTGTTTGTAAATGGTTGTTTACTTTTTAATAAATAGTAATTTTGTTGATAATAGACGGTATTATTAATTAAATAAATAATTAATAATAAATATTAGGATTTTAAATAAAAATTTGTTTATACTTAAATATTGATGAAGCGCATTTATTTTACAAAAACTAAATTCATAACTTCAACAGTAAAATTTAAAGGGTTTATAAATTTACCAGCCTAATTAACATTATAACATTAGTTTCTTATTTTGGAAGTTATAAACTACCAGTACATATTTAATAAACGACGACATTGAAAAGCCAAGTCCGTATACCGTATACCACTATAGTGGTTCCATTTAAAAAATGAGGGATAGTATAATCTAATATAAGTTTGACAAAGACAGTTAATATAGGTAGTTAGAAGTAAAAATAAATAAATAAAAGTAATTATAACGCTCTATAGAGCTATAGCTACGATATTGAGACGTTCTAGTAACGTAGCAGCTACGTTCCAAATAGTAGCAGGATTTATAGCTAGTGACATATTTGTTACCTTTTTGGAACTCAATAATTGTTTCCCACTTTAGTCGTAACTTAGTAATGAAAGAGTAATATAAAGAGACCGGCGACTGTCGCAAAACACTTTAAAGTTACTTAAATAGTCCCAAATACGTAACAAATACTTAAATTATTGCTTGGGCAAGTTTGATAAACGCCATTTTAGTCACGAATTTAATTTAGCGAGTGCCTAATTAAATGAGTGCCTGGAAAAGTTAATAAACTAGTGGCATACTATACTTTTTCTACGACAAATACTAAATAATATCTAAAAAAAATATTTAAATAAAATATTCGTACAAAGCGACATCTATACGACTATTTCGCTCGTCTTAATTTCCACCAATCACAAACGCGCAATTTTGATTTACAAATGGTTTCTAAGTAGAAATTTATTTCTTGGCTCTATGTGCTTACAGAATCCCACTGCAAGAGTTTTTTACCCGCGGCAAAACTTGACAGCAAAATTGCAATTTATATTTTAATTGTAACATAAATAATTAAGTTTGTAGTATTTTATGATTAAATATTACCTAGTTTTCAGTTTTCAAATTAATACCTACATATTTATTATGTTTGCATGTATAATATTTAGTATGTTTTGTAAGCTATGTGTATGCAGAATAACTGTTACTCATGAAATAGTCTTGTCAAATACCATTCGGGCATCTAATTTTTCCTGTGAAAAAAAATCGAAAAAACACAATGCTAAGTAATATTTTTTAACAAAATGCATTTGTGCAGGTGCAAAAATCCTCGTCTTTGACTCGTATTTTTGCTTCTTGTTAAAATATTAGCAACGTGTTTTTTCAATTTTTTTCCGAAAAATTAGATGCCCTTATGATACCTATTACTAAATAAATTAAGCATTCCAATAAACATTTTTGACGTAATTTTCACGATTAACATTGCCTGTTAATATTTTAATTAAACTTAACAATTATTGATACATAAAAATAAAAATAACTTCAAAATATGATTATGTTAAGAAAATATTTTATCCTTTGAATTTTATCACAAAGCATTAAAAAAAATTACACGGGAAATGTTAAAGGTACAAAAAGTGGCAGTTGTATTTATTCTTCCACTTAAAAAAAGTTATTTGAAAATAAAAAGCACTTTATCTTAACCAACAAAAATAAAGAAAAATTTATTAGAACAAATGTGAATTTCTCTGAGAATAAAGTTTACAATAAATTAGAATTTAGGCGGAAATATTAGGTTTTTGTTAATTTAATAATCAGTGCATGCTTTTTATTAAGTTGTTAAACTTTTTCTCGCCCGTCTAAAACTAGTTCTACTATGTAGTTGTTCTACATTGCCGGGTTGTTTTAACGGTAAGCTCAACATTGCTGCTTCATTATAGTAAATGAGAATTTTATTAACAGTAAAAAAAGTTTATTCTGTAAATAAAAATAATCTCATTACTTTGAAAAATCGTGGGTTTTTGTCCCAATAAGACACTGAAAATTTAATAAAAAAGGTACATTTTTTATAGCCATTACAATTTTAAATTTAAGTTAAATAATATTATTTTATTAATCGCTTACAAAATTAGTTTCATTATCAGTATACGAGGTGTGTTAAAAAATATCGGGAATTTTCGTTTTTTGAAACAAATATTTATTTATTCGTCTACATTAATGTTGTCGCCTTCAAAATAGTCCCCATTGGATATTATGCACATGTGCCAGCTCTTCTTCCAATACTCGAAACACTTCTAAAACTCGATCTTTGGGATAGCCTTTAGTTCTTTCAGCGATGCGCTTTTAATGTCATCTATGCTTGCAAAACGACGGCCATTTAAGGTTCTCTTTATTTTTGGGAATAGGAAAAAGTCAGAGAGAGGCATGTCTGGCGAATATGGAGGCTGGGGCATCTTTACAGTATTGTTTTTGGCCAAAAATTTTGTTCAAAATTTAACAATTTTAAAACAAATTTTGCTGCCACGCGTTTCATACCCAAAACATTCGAAATAATTTCATGGGATGAGCCAATCGATATACCAACATCATCAGCGACTTCTCTGATGGTTTATAACCATTTCTTCCACTTTTTCCATGTTTTTATCGGTTGTTAATGTGCTTGTGGGTTCGGGGCGTTCGTCATCTTCAACGTCTTCACGACCATCTTGGTAACTCTTATACCACTTGTAAACTCTTGTTTTACTTATAGCAGACTCACTATAGGCCTTTGTTAACATTTCACAGAATTTATTTCATTTTTCAGCAAAATTGGATACAAATTCTTTGATCCATTTCTTTTAACGAACGAAAAATCGCCGAGCTCATAAAACACGTCTAACCTTAGCGGCTGCCACAGACAAAGTAAACAATGAAAACAGCTAAAGTTTTTATCATACTTCGGGGGCATGTATACCAACATAATAAAGAAATATGTTTAATTGTTAAATCCATTAGAGCAGTAGTAGGTAAGTTATGTTGTTTATAAAATAAAAGGCACTTCTCTGCTGATTTGATTAATTTTAATAACCGACTAGTTTCGCCTTTAAGGCATCATCAGGGTTTCTACAAGAAATTACATTAGATTTTTTTAAGATATAGTTATAAATAAATAAAAATAAAAGTAGACTTACACGTCAATGTTAAAAATCCCAATATATACACTTTAAAATTATTATTATTTTGTTACACATATAAATAAACACTTATTACAACACTTATTAAAATTTGAAAATTAAAATTATTGTTAAATATTGTTCTTTTTAATTTGCTTATGAATTTCGTACGCTTCTAACAAAGTTAATTTGCGACTTTTTTCTTGTATGTGTAGAATTGTTGTATTATTTTCTATGTTGAAGTGGTGTCCTGTTTCTTGTAAATGATTTCCAAAATTTGAATTGTGATTGTTGTTGTTTATATGTTCTTTTATTCGGGTATTGAATGTTCTTCCAGTTTCTCCTATGTAAGTAGCTCCGCAGTCATTACAGGTCAATTTGTATACTCCATTTTTTTCCAGTCTATGTGATTGTTGTGTTGCATTGAAGAAGTTATTGTATATGGTGTTTTTAGTTTTAATAGCTGCTTTTAGATTATATTTCATAAATATAGTGTTTAATTTATTTGTAATGGGTCCCTGAAAGGTGATTTTTCTGTATTGATATGTTTCGTTATTATTATTTTCCATATTTATTAATTTTAATATATTTTTCCATACAGGAACGAATAAAATGGAAAAATATATTTAAAAAAAAAAATATATTAAAATTAATAAATATGGAAAATAATAATAACGAAACATATCAATACAGAAAAATCACCTTTCAGGGACCCATTACAAATAAATTAAAGACTATATTTATGAAATATAATCTAAAAGCAGCTATTAAAACTAAAAACACCATATACAATAACTTCTTCAATGCAACACAACAATCACATAGACTGGAAAAAAATGGAGTATACAAATTGACCTGTAATGACTGCGAAGCTACTTACATAGGAGAAACTGGAAGAACATTCAATACCCGAATAAAAGAACATATAAACAACAACAATCACAATTCAAATTTTGGAAATCATTTACAAGAAACAGGACACCACTTCAACATAGAAAATAATACAACAATTCTACACATACAAGAAAAAAGTCACAAATTAACTCTGTTAGAACCGTACGAAATTCATAAGCAAATTAAAAAGGACAATATCCAATGCTTAAACGAACAAGCAAATTTATTTTATACACCAATTTTTAAACATTTAGTACCGTCTTGATGCTCGAAG